ATTCCTTAAAGCAATTAAGTCGTTCATTAAACGCAATTAGTTACCAATGAAAACTAATTATCTATTCAAAACCCAAACTGGATTATAACACCGCGGGAGATGGAGAGGAGGTGCAAAACTCTCGTCCTTTCGCATGAGGCCGCCCGTTTTCTGCCCAGAGGCGCCTCTGGTACCGTGGGGTTGAGCGCTGCCTGGTTTTCCCTGACCTTTCTACCTCTCCGGCTTCTCCAGAGCTCTTCAGCATGTCCCTCAACGCCAAGACCAAGGTGCGAGGGCTGATCGAAATCATCTCCAACGCTGCCGAGTACGAGAACATCCCCATCAGGCACCACGAGGACAACTTGCTGCGGCAGGTGAGCGGCAGCGCGGCGGCCGCAGGGTGGGGGGTTCCTGCGGGGTCGGGGCTAAAGCACCGCTGGGTTTCTCGTTCCTCCCCGCAGCTGGCTCAAAAAGTTCCCCACAAGCTGACCAACCCCAAATTCAACGATCCCCACGTCAAGACCAACCTCCTGCTGCAGGCTCACCTGTCCCGCATGCAGCTGAGCGCCGAGCTGCAGTCGGACACCGAGGAAATCCTCAGCAAGGTACGACGGGGGGCGACCTGCCCGCCTCGCTGCGGCGCGTCCCTCCTTTCTGACCTTTCCCTATCCCTCCCGTCCAGGCGATCCGGCTGATCCAGGCCTGCGTGGACGTGCTGTCCAGCAACGGCTGTGTGGCCCCCATGGGGCTGGCGCAGATGGTGACGCAGGCCATGTGGTCGAAGGATTCCTACCTCAAGCAGCTGCCTCACTTCACCTCCGAGCACATCAAGCGCTGCACCGACAAGGTAAGATTCGGCGCGGGTGTTGGGGGGCGGGAAGCACCGTGGCCCTGCCCCCACCCCGAGGAGCCGCGGGGCTGTAACCTTCTTCCTCGCCAGGGGGTCGAGAGCGTCTTCGACATCATGGAGATGGAAGACGAGGACCGCAACGCCTTGCTGCAGCTCTCGGATGCCCAGATCGCCGACGTCGCCCGCTTCTGTAACCGTTACC